ACTGTTTAAGGCTCCAGAGTTATCGAGCAACTAAAACTCAGACTTTTGGAAATGCTGCTGGGCCTGTTTTATTTTGAAAACCCTGGGGTTGTGTTTTATTTAGTGTTGTGTTAGTCTGGATGGAGCAGCAAACCGACAAAGGGCCGACAAAGGGCCGAGTCTCCTGTTAAAACTGCAGTAACAGAGTCTCATTGTTCCACCTGAGGATACAGTTGGAAGTAAGACCAACATTAAGTGTGTGAGAAAGGTGTTTCTTCCTCCTCTTCATCATCACCATCATCATCATCACCATCACCACCATCATCATCACCATCATCACCATCATCATCACCATCATCATCATCACCACAATCACCATCATCATCACCATCACCATCATCATCACCATCATCATCATCACCACAATCACCATCATCACCATCTTCATCACCATCATCATCATCATCATCATCATCACCACCATCATCATCACCATCATCACCATCATCATCACCATCACCATCTCTGTTTCTTGGAGTCTCTCTCTGTAATCCTTCTCTCTCCTAATCTGCCTTCGACACTGTAGGTGCAGCTTTTTACTGCAGCCTGACAAACGCGACAACAAAGAGACAAACAACTACAAAGAGACAAACAACTACAAAGAGACAAAAAACTACAAAGAGACAAACAACTACAAAGAGACAGGAGAAAGACACAGTGACTAGAACATGTTCCTGGTCATAGAAACAGTGAGGCTGCTTCAGTGTTTCCTAGAAGTGACAGTGTTGCTGAAGTAATCAATGATTCGTGTGTGTGTGGGTGTGTGTGTGTGTGTGTGTGTGTGTGTGTGCAGGATCAGTGCTGCCTTCAGGGTCCGTGACATACTCCCTGTCAATAACACCCAAATTAAGCAAATTGCAGCAGAAAGAGAAAAACAATCATTGTTGGAGCGCTGCGATCAGATCAGACAGGTTCTCCTTCATCTCTTCATATTCGCTGCTTATCTCATTGTAGCCTCCAATCCAAGTTAGCAGGGATTATCTCCATGGAAAGGGCATTAAGAGGCGGATAACCTCAGCTTGGAAGCAGTTAATCTACCAGCATGTTAATGAGTCTTGTAGTGGATTGCTTAAATTAAAAGCAAATATCAACAGTCATTTGGCTAAAGGAGCCCAGCGAGCGCCTGGCCTCAATAATAATGCATTAAGTGATTTGAGTCGCCGGGTCATTGCAGTAATCATGTAATGTGAGTGAAAAACAATAAAATTAACAGGTTATCAGGAAATTAAGGCGCTGAGGGGAAGAAGAGGAGGAGCAGAGTTTCTGTGAGTGGTTCACTTCACAGACCAGAACCTGGTCCTGAAGTCTGGAAGTCAGAACTCATATTTACTAAGAAGAAGCTAACTGATGTTAGCTGGTTTCCACCTTTAGCCTTAAGTTACAGTTTAGCTAACTGATGTTAGCTGGTTTCCACCTTTAGCCTTAAGTTTAAGTTTAGCTAACTGATGTTAGCTGGTTTCCACCTTTAGCCTTAAGTTTAAGTTTAGCTAACTGATGTTAGCTGGACTCTAAATTTAGCCTTAAGTTACAGTCTAGTTAACTAATGTTAGCTAGCTGATAGCGCCCTTTCATCTCCAGTGTTAGCTTGACATTTCATCGCTAACGTTATATATGATTTAATGTTACAAACTCTGGGGCTCAATCATGAGCAGTGAGACAGTGGAGCATCAGTTGTTATAGAGAAAGGTTTTGACGTCAATATAGAGTTTATTATTTCCTGTTAACAGTCTCTGTGTCTGTGGTGGTTTAGTTAGTCTGTTAACTTTTTGATATTAGCTTCTATATCAGATGCCTGGTTTGTTTTGAGGTATTTGTACTTATTTCTATTTTATGCTAATCTATACTTCCAATTTTCAGAGGGAAACATTTTACTTTCTACTTCACTACATTTATCTGACAGAGAAGCAGGATGCTGTCAGGACTATAACACTTGACCCCCTGATTGTCATTGTATAATTCATGCTGGTTACAGTGATTTTATTCTGGTAAACTGAGGTGAGTCACTTCCTGTTGCTGAAGGTAAAAATGGTGTCCCATCTATTTTTTTTTTGGTCAGAATCCTTTGAGTTTCCTGACCTTTGACCTCTACATGATATAAAATGATGTGAAAGTTTATCTTTGATTTGATTAAGTTTGTGTTAAATCAGCTTTGCAGCCACTTCAATCGTCAGCAGCAGATTGACTTAGGGTTTAACATTTCACTGTGCTGGTATTAAAGGTCAGGAGGCTGTAAGACAATATGTAATCTAACAATATGTAATCTAACAATATGTAATCTAACAACGTAATCTAACTTCACAATCAATCTGTGTTCAAACATCATCTCTGACATACGTTTGTGTCTCTGCAGCAAAGTGATTAAAGTCGGAGGATTTGCTTTCCTGCAGATTCATCGTCCACTGAGCCGGACTTTAAAAACTTATTTTAACTGGACGTCAGTCACAAGGAGCTGAAACAACACACACACAAAGAGACGCTCCTGTCACACACGACTGCAGCTCTGATCACACATCAACTCATCTGACAGAAACCTGGACCAGGCGCAACATTAACAGCTCAATACAAGAAAATCAACAAAGACAAGCAGAGCTGCACTTATGGTGATTTTTAATCAAGGTGGCGTGGCGCTGTGGCTTAGTGGTTAAAGCACCTGTCTTGTAAACAGGGGACCCTGGGTTCAAATCCCAGCAGTGCCTGATGATCAGTGAATCTGGCAGAAACATTATTTGTCAGAAGTCAGAGTAAGATGTGTGTATGTACTCGCAGAAACATGCAGACATGATATGGCAAGTGAAAGGGCTTTTAATGTGAAAATCCAACCGGCTTCACATGAGTACTATTTGATGATTCAGGACCAGGTCTTTAGTACCCGTATTTATCATGACCCCGTGTTTCTTCAGGCTTTAACTCTCACAATGCATGCTGGGAAGTCTGTTGATCTGCTAGTTTTGTGTGATTAAAAACTTTAGTAATTTAATTTAATGAGTTGAGTGAACTTAATCAGTTCAAGTCAGAACAGCTCATGTTTATAAGTCTGAAAAGTAAAACTTTCTCAGTTGATTTATTCTTTAGGGCTCATCCTCTGAGACCAAGAATATCTAAAGAAATAACAAGTGCATGTGTGTGTGTGTGTGTGTGTGTTTACACGTTAAATCTGTCTCTATAGGATCCATTAGTGTGTGAATGGGAGCTTAGTGCTACACTATTGTTGAAACTGCAGCTGTTAACATCTGGACTGATGCTAACCTCACGCAACATGTGCATTAACACGTCACAGCGCTCTGTGTGTGTCCTCTGTGTGTGTGTCTGTGTGTGTGTCCTCTGTGTGTGTGTCTGTGTGTGTGTCCTCTGTGTGTGTGTCTGTGTGTGTGTCCTCTGTGTGTGTGTCTGTGTGTGTGTCCTCTGTGTGTGTGTCTGTGTGTGTGTCCTCTGTGTGTGTGTCTGTGTGTGTGTCCTCTGTGTGTGTGTCTGTGTGTGTGTCCTCTGTGTGTGTGTCTGTGTGTGTGTCCTCTGTGTGTGTGTCTGTGTGTGTGTCCTCTGTGTGTGTGTCTGTGTGTGTGTCCTCTGTGTGTGTGTCTGTGTGTGTGTCCTCTGTGTGTGTGTCTGTGTGTGTGTCCTCTGTGTGTGTGTCTGTGTGTGTGTCCTCTGTGTGTGTGTCTGTGTGTGTGTCCTCTGTGTGTGTGTCTGTGTGTGTGTCCTCTGTGTGTGTGTCTGTGTGTGTGTCCTCTGTGTGTGTGTCTGTGTGTGTGTCCTCTGTGTGTGTGTCTGTGTGTGTGTCCTCTGTGTGTGTGTCTGTGTGTGTGTCCTCTGTGTGTGTGTCTGTGTGTGTGTCCTCTGTGTGTGTGTCTGTGTGTGTGTCCTCTGTGTGTGTGTCTGTGTGTGTGTCCTCTGTGTGTGTGTCTGTGTGTGTGTCCTCTGTGTGTGTGTCTGTGTGTGTGTCCTCTGTGTGTGTGTCTGTGTGTGTGTCCTCTGTGTGTGTGTGCCCTCTGTGTGTGTCCTCTGTGTGTGTGTGTGTGTCCTCTGGACTGAGGGACGTCTCGGTCTCTGCAGGATAAAGTCCTCGTCCTCGTCCTCGTCCTCGCTGCAGTTTTTCATTTGTCTGCAGATGCATTATAACAATCCAATTTTCATTTACTAGCACGGCTCGTCTGTAGATGAGGCCTGAGGGGATGAGTGAGTAAAACCACTTGGTTTCATTATATAATGTTGGAGCGGAGCAAATATAATAATATTAATGGGATAATTTAATGCAATTTTCTTTATTTGATGCACTCTGACTCTGACGGCTAATCTGAAAGCTTTGTTTAAAATAGATTGAAAAATGAAAGAAGTCCAAACAGCTAATCCTCCTGTGAGGTCAGACACACTGATACTGACAGACAACATGGGCTCCACCTCCGCACCTGAGCACACACACCTGGATCTCCCCTCACACACACATCATGAACTACTCACTCACACACACACACACGAACGCTCAGGGTCAGCACCGCAGGATTCTGTCTGTGGTTCTGATCCGACTTTGTGTGGAAAGATTCTCGACTCCAGATGTGGGACGTCTCACCTGAGCGACTCTTTGACTTCCAGTTCTCCTTCAGGTGTGTCCTGGTCTGGACTGGACTGGGTCTCTGAGGGGCTCCTGGTCCCTGATCCTCACGTCACTGCAGCAGCTGAGACACAGAACTGGATCGGACCAGGAATGAAAATCTGTCTCACTTCATGTTTCTATCATTTGCTGCTGCAGGTGAACAGAGAGAGATGTAGACCAGGCTGGGACATGACATCATCAAACTAGATCTGTGACATGAGAGTTTACTCACCTCCACAGACTGATGATGTCATGTTCGTTTGATTCATTCTCAGATTTATTAAATGAAAAATAGAAAATATATTTTATTATTTTGTTCTTTTGCTGTTTCGTATCAGAATGAAGAGAAACAATGAGCCGATCTCGTCTCTAATCATTTCTCTTTATTTCTCTTGATGAGTCTCAGACTGAAGATGTGACTGAAAGTCAAGCGTGATGTGATTTCAGCTTTGGAGAGGAAATGCTGCTTCAGTGTCTCTGCAGGTTTATTTGCTCAGATCTGATCCTTCCGTGGTTAATGGCTTGTTTTCTGGACTAACCATCAGAGTTAATCCTCCAGAACAAGAACACGCTGAAGAATAATGAAAATAATAGATAAAAGGCTTTAATCTGCCTCTTAATGTAGCCACAGTTGTCTAATCCCGATCTTATTTGTTCTCCGCTCTGCTGTATTTTCCCGCTGGATGAGATGGTGTTTAATCGACTTTGGGAGAATTAGTCATTCCTTATTACCGTCGTGGTTTTTACAGGACTTTCCTGGAAAATCCCATTCAACACACATTTTAATTTCATTTCTGCAGCTCAATCATGTTGAGGGCAATGTAAATAATCCAATAACATTAATCATCATTTCTTTTCCTTTTTTTCCCTCCAAAAATAGACCAGTGGCGGCGGATTGGAGGCCGGAGACGCTGTGTTCACTCTGCTTTATTGGTTTTGTCCAAGTGCTGATGGTTTTATAAAATGTCATCATGATCCCAATTACTCAGCAGGAGCAGAAGATTTCTTCTGTTAATCTGAGGAAGTGAGGAGCCGCCGCGCTCGGCCACTTCCTGTTTCCTGGAGGAGAAAAAACATCACAATCACCAGCAGCAGATTTTAGAAACTGAGGTTTAATATTTTTCACTCCTGTATTTTTCTCTTTGTCTTCCTCTTTGATCTTTATCGTCGTTCTTCACCTTCTTCCTTCTTTCTTTCTTTCTTTCTTTCTTTCTTTCTTTCTTTCTTTCTTTCTTTCTTTCTACATTTTAATTCTTAAGTGTTTTTTTTTTATCTTACTACAGGTTAGCTAACTAATGCTAGCTAGCTGGTAGCTCCCTTTCATCTCCAGTGTTAGCTTGTCATTTCATGACCAATATAAAACATCATATATGAGCTAATGTCACAAACTCTGGAGCTGAGTCAGGTGTTCTGACGCTGATGACTTGTTCATAGCTGAAACTAGTTCGTTGATATTAAATATTAAATAATCACTCTTTAATTTTCTTTATCTTATAACATTTACATGTCAGAAGCATGTGGACCTGTTCTATCCTGATTATGAAGTTGTATTATAATTTTGACTTAATGTATTTATATAATAAGACCTTTACAGAAAACGTCAGGTCAGACACGTGACAGAGCGAGTGTGTGAAGAGTGTGTTTGAGCTGAATCATGAAGGTTTCCTGCAGAGACCTCCGTGACAGTGTGGACAGTGTGGACAGTGTGGACAGTGTGGACAGTGTGTCCTCGCTGCAGCAGATTGGAGACGAGAACCACAGCTGATAAGATGCAGAGATGATAAGAGACAAATAAGATGCAGCCTAATAAGACTCAGAAAATAAGGCAGCTCAGTCCAGATGTCCCCGCTGCGTCCTCTAATCCACACTGAAGCCACGTCTTACAAGATGAAAGTGGAATCTTCTATCAATTATTATCCTAACATACTGAATTATATCCCCACAAATCCTTCAAATTATTCCCTAATAATCCTCCTGATGGGATCACATGACCCAGATAGAGCAGAACCAGCTCCAACACTCAACCTTTATATCATGCAGACATTTATCACAGAAACCACACACACACACACACACACACACACACACACACACACACACACACACACACACACAGCAGAATCACTGCTGGGACATGGACACCACGTCTATAAACCTTCACCTACTGTGATTAAAACATTCACCCACGTCCTCTGTGTGTGGCGTCTTCTTCTGTAGAAAGCAGCTGAGTCTAAACCCCAAGACAACGACACAGGTGTTTACAAATGTACAAATAATAATGACGATCACTAAATTCATAATTATAGAACAGGTTGTAAAGGAATATTGTTTCACATGCAAAACTACTGCAAAAAGACAAAAGTAAAGAGACATGAAACAACCACGTTTGACCTGATTTCACTTTGTGAGGACGTGATTTTTCTTCCATAAACATGGTTTAAATTCCAGAAACAGCCCAATTTTTTATTCAACATTAAAATGTTAAAAACATTAAAAATGAAAACTGCAGATAAAACAATCTTCTCTCCGTTCACAGTTATTCTGTGTTTTCTTTCTTCCTTGCTTCACTTTAATGTCACGTGCTGTTGTTGTTGTGGTCAGCTGTCTGTTTAAACCTGTTTGTGTTTTTTAATCTCAGCAGCTGAATCCTTTTTACTGCTTTAATATAAAACTGTTCTGTTGTTGTTGTTGTTGTTGTTGTTGTCAGATGAATAAAGTCAAACTTAATAAAGTTTTATCACTATGATCAGATTGTGCCGTGGCTCCGACACATGAACTGTTTCAGCAGCAGGTTTGAAGACGCTCTTCACCTGGAGGGAAAAAGAGGGATGAAGACACAGATCTATAGATTACAGTGTTTAATATAGCATGTCTATATTCTGTCGATCTTGTCGTAAAGGAATATTGTTCTCTGTGTGTTTCTGTCTTTGTGTGTCGATTAACAACTTAGTTGGATTAGCGTCTCAAACTGACGTAATTGTCTCTAAATGACATTTGTATGTAAATCTGCAGGACGATTAGGATCCACTCAGCTCTGCTTTTGTTGTTCTGACCATCAGAGTGATGAAAATAAAAAGGCAGCAGAAAGATTACAGAACCATTAACGTGCCCCGACCCATTAACTGATAAAAAGCTATTAGAGGCTTATAGATTAAATTACATATATGGAGCAGAGTGATGATGAAGGCTCAGCAAGAAGAGGAGGAGGAGGAGGGTGGAGGGGGGGTGGACAGAGATGGTGGGGGGGGTCATGTAACGTAAAAGGAAAATGACCTGTACATGGTCATACATATGTATATTTATGTATATTTATCATTAAAGCAGATCATTTTAAAAGTCTTCACAGGTTTTTTGTCTTTGTCCACTGAGGATGGAAATAAACAAAGCAAAGAAACATTTATGTGTTTTATGGCAGAAAATTTAATATTTTCTTTTAATCTATTCACATTTAAACCAAATCACTTGTTTAATCTATAGATTCATATTAATCCGTTTGTTTTTCTTTTCTCTGAAGATGTTTAGAGAGAATGTAATTATTATAATTAATTAACCCTAACCTTGGTATAAAGCCAATAAAAAAAAGTTTAAGATTTATATGTATTTACTGTAATTTAATAAAAACTTAAGAAACTAAATCACGGTTCATTCATACAGGCCTCTAAACATGAAAACTGCGACCCACAGGAGAGAAGCCGTTCTCACAGAAACATGTAAAACATCACAGTCTGATCACTTTCCTTCACTGAGCTCAACAGGAGAAGTTAAAGTGAGTGGTGGTGCGGAGGGAGAGGTCAAAGGTCACAGTCACAGGAGCTGGTTTCAGTACAGAGACGCCTCCCGAGCTGCAGGGTGTCGGGGGCCTAATGACCACAGACAATAGATCCACTGAAGAGTGGACGACACGTCAGTTTCAGGAACTCTCCCATATATACATATATTTACATATATAATAAATATATAACAAATATATATACATATAATATATATTTAAATATATATAATATTAATCATCAGCTAGTTGAGTTTTTGATGTGCGCTTCATTGTATTTCATTTAGTTTGTCTGCAGCTTCTTAAATTGTTTATTTTTTTATTTATTTTATTTCATTTTTATTATTTTTATTATTAATTAGATTTTTATTAGACTATTTTAGTTGTAAATAAAACACTATGAGCTGCAGCTCGCCGAACAAAGATGCAAATAAAGTTTATTATTATTATTGTTGTTGTTGTTCTTCTGATTATTATTCCATGGTTCACTGAGGGATTGTAAATGCAACAGTTTGTCCTCCTCCTCCTTCCACCCTGTTGATCAATGATAACAGAGAAAGGCCTCCACACACACACACACACACACACACACACACACACACACACACACACACACACACACACACTAACCATATGGTGTTGAACGAGGAGGCACACTCCCACCAGATTCCCCACAGACCCTCACTCTCCTCTCAGCGTCTGATTGGCTGCTGCAGGTTAATGAGGCTTCACACCACCTGCTCCTGACAGACACAGAGGAGGGAAAATTATTCTGCACTTTATTAATGAGTCAGTCTGGAGTTCTGTTAGCGCCCCCTACAGGACACAGGTGTCATTACAGCCACAAAGGTATTTCAGCTATTTAAATTCAGTCGAGGAGCTGAACATGTTGAATTAAGGTTCATCCTCTGGAGAGCAGGAAGATCATTATTATTATTATTATTGTTATTATTATTATTATTATTATTATTATTATTATTATTATTATCAAAGAAGTAATCAAGAAGAGAACTGGCTGGAGCTGATTAACCCTCACATGCTGTTCATATTTCTGCCTCCACATTATGGTAAGAGCTCCCTCATGATAAGTGTCAATGGTCCCCTTGAACTCTGTCACCACTGTCCCATAACAAATACACACAGACAGGGCATGTACAGTTTCACAGTTTCAAGATCCCCTAAAACCTCCATGTTCCTTCATCTGATGCACAAATCTAATATCTGTGGATCTACAGTCCACTTCAATAGATACGGCTCAGATTTGACCTGAACAGCCTCAATGTGTAGCACCTGTAAAAAAATAAAAAATAAAAAATATTTAAATTTTTTGGTATTTTGGGTCACTTTAGGAAAAGTCATCAAATTTCAAAATGTCAAAAACGGGTCAAATTTGACCTGAACAGTATGTAAGGGTTAAAAAAAGGTTTAATAAATGAGAGATAAATGTAAATAACTGACACAGAGTCACAGTCATGGAGAGTTCCACACATCTGAAACACTAGAATAATAAAAATCATTTAATTTAACCTTTAAAAAAAGGATTTACAGTCCAACTGTATAATCTGTGTTTGGTTGTGAACATGAACATGAATGTTTGTTAAACTCCTTCTCATAACTAAACATTAAGCCTTTCAGATTACTTGTGTAAAATGTTAAATCTAATTTACACAACCTTTAATGTAATATGTATGTATTTCTTATCGCTGCAAAGTTTAAAACTCTCTCTCTCTCTCTCTCTCTCTCTCTCTATATATATATATATATATAGGATATATATATATATATACTGTATATATTTATAAATACATTTATTAATTTCATAACTTAAGGAGAAAAAGTTTTATTTTATGTTTTTTTTTTATTTCCATATTAAACAGTAAAACTCTTGGTTTGAAACTCTGATATGATGAGTCGGAGTTTTTTTTTCCTGTTTCTGTAGTAAAATAAAGACGTTACTGTGCCTCGTATTTTCGGCCACGTTAACCTTGTGTCGTCATCAGTCAGCGCCGTGTTGTTAACAGTAAAGTGAGTGAACAGTAAAGATCGGAGAGTAGAATGAGGAGAAAAGTGGACGAAGTGTTGAATTAACGGAGCAGCTGCTGACGGTTTCTGCTCGGTGGGTAAACACATGTTTTACTGTTTGTCCTGTAACAAAAAAAACTGCAGTTTGACCGGCGGGACACTGTTAGCCTGCTGCTAGTTTAACACCTTCATGCTAATCGGCTAACAGGTTGCTGCCAGTGTCAGGTTTCAGCTAACTGATAGCATAAAATGTTCTTTAAACAGACAGCTAATGTAATACTATTACTCATATACTGCTGCAGGAATGAGTCGTAAATCACAGAAATATGTTTTAGCATTTTAGCTCCTCGGGTTCCCCTCGTCCTGAAGTCGACGTGTTGTTTTGGTTTTGGTTAGATATTTGAATCAGGTCGATGTTTAATAAAAGCTCAAGATATTTTCACTTTTTATTCTACAACATAAAATACATCAGTAAATACTCCAGGCCTGATTTATTTAAACTTTTACGTGTGTTAAAAAAGGTCGGTTGCTAACAAGTGTCTAAGTGAGACTTCAGAGGTTGTCGGGGACGTTAAACGTCATCACTTTGAACACGAAAACCGATCTACTCACCAGTTTACCTTCAGAGCCTCGTTCTGTTTATACAAACTGTCACTTACTCTGTAAGAGGAAAAAGGCTTTTGTTGAATATGTCAGAGCTGAATCAAACTACAAGTTGGAAGCTTAGTGATGATGTTGAAGTCATGCGACGGTGTTGTAGTTCGTTTATAGCCTAGCATTAGCTTTTTTATTCTGGTGATTGTATTTGGGCTTTAGAAATTATAAAAGTTATGTTAATCAGTGAAGATTATTCTCTTGAACATAATTAGTAAGTAAGTATCATAAACTTGTGTTTATCACAGAGTTTAGTTTCTGCTTTTTTCGAGGGGGCCAGGGTGATGCTAACTTCCGGGTTGGGCTACAAAAATACGTCATCCCAGCAGCACTAACTTCAGTTCAGTTCAAATGTTTGTTGGCATGAAAGTTTTAGAAAAAGTATGTTACCAAAGCAGTAAAATACAATTTATAAGATATTAAATGCAACAAACAGCACCAAGATCCATATACATCCATATATCATTTATATTTTTACCAATTATTATTTGCATGTGTACTATAACCATATTTTGTGATATCTAATGGACAGTTGGCATAAGTTGTGTCCTATTGCAGTGATAGCAGTTGCTCCAAGTAAATGAATCTACACCAAACTCCATTCAAATATCTGTTCATTTAATGTTAGGTTGCATATACATTTTTTTCTGACCAGCAGAAACTAGATTAGTTACCTGCTTTAACTAGCTTTTGGAAATTACAGTGTGATTATATGAATGTACTGTTGCAGTGGTGGCAGCTAATTTGATTCCACGCCAAACTCCATTCAAATATCTGCCACTTTAATATCAGTTTTCATGCAGACTAATACTGATGGTGAATATTTATGTATTTTCTTGATGTTCCTCCAACAAGCAACAGGTTTCAGACAGAATTACAATAATTAATGTGAATATATAAATGTTAACAATAATTTTCACCACAGCAATTCAGCCTGATTTCACACCAAACTCCATCCAACTTTAAAAGCGTTGGATATGATTAGTTGAAACTTACAGGGACCCTGTGTTGAGGGGAAATGAAGCAGCAGACTGAAACTGATTGTAAAATGTGTGACGTCAGGTTTTACTACCTGTGTACTTTTCCTGATAAGATATGTTTACAGGTTCATTCACCAGCTGCTGCCTCCGACACACAGGGGAGAATAAACTGGACAGATGCAGCCTGTGGACAAGTCTCCTGTTTAATGTGAATAATAAAGTATTTTCTAAAATCTCTTGTAGCTCCACACAGAATGAGTCGAGATGAAGAGACCAAAGCTGGCCGGGGTTTTCCTCTTCGTGGGCTGCCTGCTCGCCTACCTGATGTTTGTGAAGCGTCACTACGCCGTCTCCAAGCCTGAAGCATACAGACTACCTCCCCACCACCGGGCCGGCTCCGACCCGATCGGAGACGACAGGCCGGCCTCCGCTGCCGGACAGAGCTTCCAGTATGGCATCATGTTCGACGCTGGGAGCACTGGGACCAGAATCCACATCTTCAAGTTCCAGATAGAGGAGAAAGGTACAGCAGAGGACAGGACACAGTGGAGTTCAGTAGAATATGAGAGTGCACTCTGTCCCACGTACATATTTAGTCCAGAGCTGCAACAGTTGGTTGATAATTGATTGGTGGATTGAAATGAATCAGCAGCTATGATGATAATCAATGAATCATTTCAGACACTTTCTGGTTCCAGCCGCTCATGTGAAGATTTGATGTTTTTCTTTGTCTCCTTTAGACAAAATAAGACATTAACAGTAAAGACGACACCATGGACAATATTCAAAAATGTTTTATACAAAACAAATATATTCAATTTATTGATAAATAGATAATAGATATTAATTAACATTGAGTTAAGTCCAGAATCTGACTTATTCTGTTATTAAGACATCGATACATCATGTGAGTTTAGTTTGTCAATCAAAGGTGAGTCTGAATTCACTACCTGTTTTATTTGAGTCTGAACTCTGAGTCACTGTCTGAAAAATTCATTCATTCATTTTCTATCACACATCAGATTATAAAACTCTTTGTTCTTTTGTCCTCACGTTGTCTTTGCTTCCTGCTCTGCATGTGTGGAGCAGCACAGTGAGTCTCAGTGAGATGCAGTAGAGGACAGTATAATATTTGATATGTTGAGACTCTATATGATTCATATGGATGGTTCAGATTAAATGTTTTAAAGCAGACTTCTCTGAATCACTCAGTGTATTTAAAGCCTCGTTGGCCTCAAACATTAATTACCAGATGTGAGTCCCGCAGACAGGAGCAGCTTTCAGGCTGTAAGTCGTGGCGCTGCTGGCAGAGTCCGAGCGGACACAAACTCATTAGAGCGTTTCAGAGGGTTTGGGTTTATTAGGCTTAGATGAAGTTTCCTGCAGCGCTCGGCCAAATGCCTTCGTTATCGCATTTAGCCGCTAAGCTAAATCACACAGGCTGAGTGCTGTTTTGGCTCCTTTGTTAGCAGCAGAGCTAACCGGACTAATGGTAGCACCTGTTAGTTATACAGACTGGGATTGTCATTAAGAGCTTAATGACAGCTCAGATGTAGGCACAGGTCCAGGATCAGGCCGTTAGGAATTAAATAAAGTGAAATTAAACGAGGCTGAGGACTTTCTTTTATCAATGTAAACATGTGTAAACAAATGTTCTGATCGTTTTATCCACTGTGTGTTTGTGTTTGTGGTTATTGAACCTGCAGAAGCTCCTCAACTGGCCCACGAGACGTTCAGGGCCATCAAACCTGGCCTGTCTGCGTATGCCGACGATCCTGACAAGGTGCACAGCGTTTATATTTATTTATGGTCACAACATCAGCTAAAGGAGGACTATCTGACCCTATTCAAAATCTAATGGAGGCTTTGGTGGAGATTTAAAATGTTGAATAAACAAATATTCATATAGCTGGATTTAACTACAGGGTCCTACTACTACAGCCAGCTTCTCAGTTTACGCTTTTATTTTGATCCATTTCTGTGTCACAGTTTGTTTCCTTTCACCCCCCCCCCACCCCCACCCACACACACACACACACACACACACACACACACACACACACACACACACACACACACACACACACAGCAACACAATGTGCGTCAGGATCGTGGAGCTGTTGGAGGTGGCGAAATTCGAGCGTCCCCCCCCCCATCTGGAACATCACCCCTGTGGTCCTGAAAGGCAACGGCCGGCCTCCGTCTGCTGCCTGGAGATAAGGCCAACCACCTGCTGGACAGGCGTGAGTGTAGTTACATAATTATCTTGATTGGGTTTTGATGGTTTTATAACTTCTCATTTTTTTATTTTGTTTTAAATTAAAATTTTTAATATATAATTTTTTTGTATGTCAGTATTGGATTGAATTCTTTAATTTTTTAATTATTTCATTTATTATTTATTTACGTCAGTGCTCCTTTTTATTTTTTTAAATTATTAAATATTAATTTATTTTTTGCATGCCAGTGCTGATGTTGGATTGAATCATGTTTTGATTTATATTTTATTTATTAAAATTTATTCATTTGATTAATTTTGGCTGCCAGTGTTTCATATTAGCTTAAATTTTATATTTTATTATTTTATTATTTAATCTAAACAGATATTATTTATTTTTTTGGGAATACTGTCAGACTCAATCAAATCAATTCAAAAAGTAAATAAAAATACATTTTAAATAAGATATTAAATAAAATCGACAAATGAAAATAAGAATAAAAAATAAAATTACATAATAAATAAAAAATGAAATTAAAAAGATATCTTAAAAAAAGTAAATAAGTAATTAAGAAAACAGACAAACAACTTTTCAATAACCTCAGTCCACTGTAACATTAGACAACATCAAACCTACAGACATTAAAGATGTAAAGAATCTGATCAAGGTAATCAATCACCTGAATCACCAGGGTCAGATCAATAACCTCCTGACATCTCTCTCTGGCAGCATCAACATTCATCTCCTCCACATTATGCAAGTGAATTACTTCAGCTAAATAACCTCACATCCTCCACACAGCTCCTCCTCCTCCTCCTCCTCCTCCTCCTCTTCATCATCATCAATCATCATCATAGCGTTGGAGCCAAAAAAGAAAAAGTCTATTAAAGCTTTTAAGTAATCAGTAATAACAGGAGCAGAGCGGTCAGCCAAAATGTGATTTAATCTGAGGCTTTGCTCTTATTATCAACTGGTCCTGGATCAGCCAAACACAGAAGCTGATTACATGGGGGGGGGGGCGCATTAGTTTTTATTAAAATATAATAATCAATATATGATATATAGTAGAATATTATACCACAGTAACAGAGAGAACGTAATGCAGCTAAAATGTGTTTAAGGGAAACAGAAGAGAGGACAGTTTGAATTACACTTACAATGAGTTTATACTGATTCATCTTGCTTCATTAATAATTATTGCATGATAACAAATGAAGTCTGTGAAAGCAGTGCGGAAAACACCTATAACTCCAGTAAACTCCAGTAACCTACCAGCAACACCAGTAACTCCAGTACACGCACAGTAACTCCAAGCAACACCAGCAAACACGCAGTACAACCAAGTAACTCCGCAGTAACTCCAGTTAAACTCCAGTAACTCCAGTAACAACCATTAACTCCATTAACTCCAAGTAACTCAGTAACTCCAGTAACTCGCGTACACCAGTAAACTCCAGTAATTCCAGTAACAACCATTAACTCCATTAACCTTCCAGTAACTCCAGTAACTCCAGTAACTCCAGTAACACCTAGTAACTCCAAGTAACAAACAGTAACACCAGTAACTCCAGTAACACCAGTAACACAAGTAACATCCATAACTGCCAGTAACTCCAGTAACTCCAGTAACACCAGTAACTTCCGTAACACCAAAGCTAACTCCAGTAAACACCAGTAACTCCAGTAACTCCAAGTAACACAGTAACTCCAGTAACTCCAAGTAACAACCATGTAACTCAGTAAACTCCAGTAATCCAAGTAACTCAGTAACACCAGTAAACACAGTAACTCCGTAACACCAGTACTCCCAGTAAACCTCCAAGTAACATCAGTAACACCAGTTAACAGCCAGTAACCCAGTTACACAACACCAGTAACTCCAGTAACTCCAGTAACAACCAGTAATCCAAGTAACTCCAGTAAACACCAGTAACTCAGTAACTCCAGTAACACCATTATACTTCCAAGTTAACTCCAAGTAACTCCAGTACTCCAGTTAACTCCAGTACACCAGTAACACAGTAACACCAAGTAACACCATTAACTCAGTAACACCAGTAACAGCCAGTAACTCCAAGTAACACAGTACTGCCCAGTAACACGCAGTAACTGCCAGTTAACTGCAGTAACACCAGGTAACACCATAAATCCAGTAACACCAAGTAACTCCAGTAACACGCAGTTAACTCCAGTAACTCAGTAACTCAGTAACTCCAGTAACACCAAGTAAAACTCCAGTAACTCCAGTAACACCAGTAACTCAGCAACACCAGCACACCAGTAACACCAGTATACTTCCAGTAACACCAGTAAACTCCAGTAACTCCAGTAAACAAGTAACTCCAGTACAAACCATAACTTCCAGATAACTCCAGTAACTCAGTAACTCCAGTAAACACAGTAACACCAGCACACCAGCAACACCAGCACACCAAGTAAGCACCAGTAACTCAGTAACTCCAGTAACTCCAGTAACTCCATAACACAGTAACACCAGTACACCAGCAACACCAGCAACACAGCAACACAAGCAGTACACCCAGTTTACTCCAGTAACTCCATCAACCATAAGCTCCAGTACTCCAGTAACACCAGTAACTCCAGTAACTCCAGTAACAAACCAGTAACTCGTAACTCCAAGTAACTCCAGTAACAGACACCAAGTTAACTCCAGTAACTCCAAGTAACACCAGTAACACGCAGTAACTCCAGTAACACCAGTAACAACCATGGTGAACGTCACTGTTCTGTAACATGTTACATTAATATTTTAAATTTATTTTAATTGTTTGCTGCTTTTTGGTCCCAAATCAAATTGAATCAAATTTATTTACCACCAGACTGTAAAACAATGTTGTTTTCAATATAATAAAAAGCAGTAAAATCAATTGAAATGGGACCAAGTAGAAAGTTAGTATGTGTAAGAAGAAGGCAAAGCTAAAAAAGGACGTGTTGACCATTTTATTTGGGAATTTTGGGGGTGTGTCTGTATGTAATATTATCCTGGTTTGAACAGGTTCAATTAGTTTACTGATGTGGCGCATTTGTGTTTTTATCAAATTCTAGATTTAAGGTAAAAGTCCTTCACTTTTAATATCATCCGCAATCTATCAAATCATTTGATCAGCCTGATCAGTTGGCCTGTGATTGGAGGAAGTCACGAATAAATGAGATGATTTGATGAACATCTTTGTTTTTCTCTTCCTCTGTGCAGGTGAGGGCGCTGTTCCTGGAGTCCCCCTTCCTGTCCAGAGATGACAGCGTGTCATCATGGACGGCACTGTTACGAAGTGGTAACGTGTCTTTCCTGGTAACTGAAGGTGGGGAACTTGTTTGGGACCTGATGGGACCAAGTTGGACGCAGGTCCGTCCAGTCTGGTTCAGTTGGTCTGTTCCCAGTCTGGTTCAGCTGGACTGGGTCCCTGTCCGCAGTTGTTGTCGCATAGTTTGTTTTTGGTTGGACTGGTGGACTTCCTCAGTCTTCAAGTTTCACTGATCAAGAAGTCTGTTCTCCGTCACCGTTCTCTGACGCGCATCAGTCTGAAGTTGTACTGGGTCGGACCAGCAAGAGAGTGGACCGGGTCTTGACAGCAGAGAGTTGGACTGGGTCACACCAGCAGAGAGCTGAACCCCTTCCGAAGGTCTCAAACACCCTGATCTGGATCGTCATCCTCTTGATGAGTTTATTAATCAGAGAGATCTGTTTGTCCTGTCCGTCCTTTCCTGGTGGTTTCAGTGTTTAATCTGATGACGAGCAGAGAGCAGATCCTGTTCTGCTCCTCCAAGCTCTGGCTCTGATTTCTTCCCCAACCGAAAACCTCCAACGTGGAGATTAAAAGACCAAATGAAGCAGGAGACAGAGATCCTCGTGAGGCCGGCGGTCAAACAATCAGTCAGCTGATGTATATCCTGCTGCGTGTCAGTATTGATCTGGTGATCAGTCAGTTCATCAAAATAAGTAAAATGATCATTGACATTAACTGGTTGTTGCTGCAGGTCACAGAATCTGCTGTAAACACTGGTCATGGAATGAGGCCGAGAATTGTCCTCCTACCAGTTATCACATTTTAAACAAAGGACTTTTAATTTGTTTTGTTGACTCTGGACGTAAAAGCCAGTCGGCCAATATTTGTTTGTAACGTGTTTATCAGCGTTTGTTACCTTGGAGTCAGAGGAGGGATTTCATTTTCCACAGAGATGAAAAACCAGTGTTTTACCAGTTGGAAAACCAGAATCCAAAGTGGAACCAGTTTGAGAACCCATCCTGCAGAACCTCCTACCCTCCATACTGACGCAGTAACAGAAAAAAACATCATGTTTTAAATGTATTTACAAAATAATGTCATCGTAAATTGACCTATTGGTTGGGCTGTATGGCATTCAGTTATTATTACCTGGTGACCATGGTAACACAATGCACATCAGTATCATGAACCAGTCACTGATCTGCCCTGTTTTACCCACAAACCAACAAGGTGGACAATGTGTGGGAGGATTATTGTGGCGTTTGATATTTTAACACAACGACCATGTTTCACATCACCATGTGAACATTAAACAGTAAATACCAACTGGGACCAGACCAGCAGGTCACATGTTCTATAAACCTCAAATCAAACTCAAAAAATAATTTCAGAAATAAAAAAAAAAGACAAAGGGACAAAAAACCGGAGACTAGAATATTTTTAATTTTTATTTAAATGAAAAATAAAATCAATCACAGTTTGTAGTGTAAACATGGAGAGGGGAGGATCTGAACATCCAGAAATGTGAATTAAACTGAGATGGTGAAATGAATCCTGATCCCTCCTCCTCTCTGCATCACTGGAGTTGCCTCTGAGAACTGCATCGTCCTCCTCCAGGATCCAGATGTGAACTCGTCTGCCTCCAGCTGTCCCCTGCTCCTGGCTGCTGGTCCAGTTTTGGGCCTGAGCTGACCCCCTCCTCCTCCTGCTCCTGCTCCTCCTCTGCCTTCACAGTGACCTGTGCTCTAATACCACTGTGTTTGGATATATATAATATATATGTGTATATATATATTATATATATACATATATACACGCAGAGGAACATGCAAAGGTTGTTGTTTAATGCTTGCTCTGTATGGAAACGCAAGCTTCTGCAGCATATAATCCAAATCCTTTTAAAGTAGTTTCATACAAGCAATTATGGCCAGTGGGATAATGTCCCACTTAAATCTTGAAGAGGGAGGGAGGGAGGACGATTAAACGCCCCCCCCCCCCCCCCCGCCCCCCCCACTCCGTTCAATTTCTGAGGCTGAAATGTTTTCTCCTTCCTGAGTGGGATAGCTCGTTACTAGCGCTCCAACCATAAATGCTTTTTAATGATCAGTGAATGAACTTTTTCCTCGTCAGCGAGTCACTAATGACAGATTCCTCTGCCCGTCACTCTCGCTGGTCTAACCGGATTCCATCAGCCCTTATTATCGCTCACGGATATTTTGCCATAACTTGGCCTGGATGCTTATCCCCAGCTGAGAATTACTCTCTGAGCGCCCTGGATGTTAAGGACTTATTGTTATGGCAGATCTCTGAGTGGTTTGCTGGGGGCCGGAGGGTGCTAAGTGCCGGTTGTTTAGCCTCCCAGACCCTAAAAGCCGAGTCTCCCTCCGCACTTGTTTGTTTTGTTTGAAATTGCTTCTAGCGTCCTCGGCCTAAGAGGTTTTTATGGTAAAGCTCCTATGATAACAGTTTCTATCAAAGCTCCATAATCATCCACTTCTGCATGTGGACCGGGTTCCAAGAGGTCGCTGGTTTTAAAAGGCACTAATGCATGAGCTGAGTGAAATATTATGCCACAGACTCTAATGTCGTCTTTGAGTTGACCTAG